AGAGCAGATCAATAATACCTCTGTAGTTAGGACAGTGGCCAGATACCTATTCTTTACTTGGGAGTTCAAATTTGTAGGTTCCTCTGAACATGTTGAAGTCTGGTTCCTCTACACCCACCAGAGCTTGAAGATATTTCAAAAGATGTGCTATTTGATTTTTGCGAACATTCAGAAACTGTAGGAACCAAGTAATAGTGAAATCTGGAGCCAGCAGGGGGTGCGGTGGTTAAGGTGCTAAATTCCCACATGGCAGACCTCGGTTTGAGTCCCAGATCTGGCAGCTTGATTTCTCACTACTCCTCCTCTGCTCCCTTCTCTCTCTGGTGACAGCACATGCTGTATAGCAAATTAAATAATAATAATAATATATAAAATTAAATAAATGATAAAAAAAGACCATAATCTATTACTTATTTTTCAACTATTCTTTTATGTATTTGTTCTTGTTCTAAACATTCAACTTATGAGTATTTATTGAACAACCAAAACATCATTCATATCATATGAGTTGGTACATGATATCAATAAGAAAAACATATAAGGGGTTATTAACATTGGTTATGAAGAGGAGGAAAAAAGTAAACCATAAGGATGTGTTTTGAAGAAAATTAAAGGTAGCCATATCCATAATATAAAATGGTATATCGATAGTATAGTTCCCCTTAGATAAACTGGGCATGTACATTAAAGAATTCCATGAAAAGGGGGCCAGCAGTTAGTGTAATGGCTATGTCGCTGGACTCCCATGTAGTCGACTGCGGTTCGAGTCCTGGACCCGGTGGCTTAAACTCACGCCAGGCATGTATGCATGTGTGCCCAAGATCCCGAGAGGAGAACGGAGGAAAAGGGATTGTGGCGTGGCCATTTCCCCCGGGGGGGTGATTTCTCGCTTTCTATCTCTGTCTCTGTCTTTCTGACGAGCGCACGCACCTGATAGCAAAAACTTCTCCAAAAAAAGGGGAAAAAAAGAATTCCATGAAAAGAACGGCTACCAAATATTAATGATGGTTGTCTCAGGTCGAATGACATTTTAAGTAACTTCTGCTCTTTCTAAAACATATGACAGTTTTAAGTAAGTAAATACATTATTTACAGAATAAAAACAATATAGCTGTCATGGTGAAAAACAATTTATGGAGTGCCAATTGGGGATTTCAAAAAGTTTGGGGAGAAAATGGAATTCAAGTATAAGTTTATTATGGAGCAAAAAAAATGTCAGTCCATGTGTAGTTTCTTCATCATATGCATTCTCTTTTTTTAAGAGTGATTTTTGCTATAGAGTGCATACGCTCACTGGAAAGACAGAGTGACAGAGAGACAGAAAGCGAGAAATCACTCCCCGGGTGGATGGCTGTGCCACAATCTTTTCTCCTCGGTTCTCTCAGGATCTTAGATACAAGCACACATGTGCCTGGAGTGAGTTTAAGCTGCCAGGTCTGGGATTCGAACTGCAGTCAACTATATAGGAGTCCAGCAACATAACTATTAGGTCATCTGCTGGTCCCCATCATATGCATTCTCAATGAACTTTTTAGAGACCCCTCACATGTACAAAGACCCAGTTTCTGTATATCAATGTATCGTTCACTCAAGTTCTTCTTTTTACTTTGAAGACACATTAATAACTCTTCAAATGAAAATCAGGCTGAACCCTGGAAATGTACTGTGGACACCAGTGACTGTCAAATTCTACAAGAATTCCTTTCAAGGTCTTTTACCTGAAGAATTGGGTGAAAGGGCCTGGCAATGAGTGTGGCCCTTAGGTTCAGAGTCCCACTGTCCTTGTACCTTGACTGAAACAAGAGATATAAGATGATATCTCTGACCTCAGCCAATCTTTTCCATAAGGAGACTGGCCAAGGGACTGGATGAGTCAGTGCAAATCAATTGCAATGATGGAAAACCCATCTTAGAAAAAAATGTCAGCAGGTCAGAGCTAGCCCCTCTGCACATGAAAGATCTCACAGTCTGTGTTTATTGACACAGAAGGTGGTTTTAATTAGCCTGAAGGAATTTCTGGCATGTTTTGCCAAAGCCAGTCTTAAAATGTTTAATCAATGGATTAGTGACAACCAGAGTGACTAGAGAGGTTGCACATGGGGGCAGCTGGTCAAGTGTAGAGCATTGCAACATGGCTGTTAATGACAGAGTATGGATACGTTTTAGCAGAGAAACATAGATGAGAAAATACCACCACCTACTAAGGAGATGATCTTGGGTTTAGAAAGTATGGAGTATTCTATGTCTGAGAAACCTTGCTTCTTTTCCTTGGCTTTATGATCTATACAGCCTCCATGGCCTTTGTTTTATATTAAAAGTTTACTGAAAAGTAGACTTAGTAGGATGATCTGAAGCCAGAGTTTGAGTGATTAATCAAATAATTGGTTTGTTAGCACCACAACTAGTGACTGGAAAGAATGAATATGCTTTTCCAAATAAAGATTCAAAGAAAATGTATACATAGACTAGCACAATCTTCACTTTAGTTTTACCTGTTTGTGTTGACCTACAGGGTTTTTAAATTTTGTATTATTATTATTTTTTAATACACTGTATTGCTGTACATCATTGGGCTTACAAAGAGAATTTACCCAACATGAAATACACCTCAGACCAGTCCAGTTGAGAATACTATACACATTATCATCAGCAGATGATAAACCACTACTGTGTCCTACACATGTCTTGCCTCTCTATTTTTCCTCCCTAAATTCCTTCCCTATACTCATCCCCTCTCCACCCCTTCCACACTGTCTCCAGTGGTCATAACTATTTTCAATGCTTTTTTGTGCTCCAATCTTTCAGTCTCTACCATCGAGTGCGGAGAGTTAGTATATATTAAGTGGAGACATAAAATATCCTTTCATAGCCTGACTTATTTCACTCAGCAATAAATCTACCATGCTCAACTGCTTTCTATCAAATGCCAGGGTCTTGTTTTGTATGGCTGAGTAGTAGTCCATAGAGTATATGTGCCACACTTTTTCAATGCATTCATTTGTTCGTGGACATTTGGTTTGGAATGCTGCAATAAACATAGATGTATAACCTCTTTTCCAACTGAGCATTCTCCTATTTTTTTTTTAGAAGTTTTTGCTGTAGGGCACATGCACTTGCCAGAAAGACAGAGACAGAGAGACAGAGAGCAAGAACTCCCCCCCTGGTGGCATGGCCATGCCTCAATCCCTTCTCCTCCATTCTCCTCTCTGGATCTTGGGCACGCACGCACACACGCCTGGCATGAGTTTAAGCCACCGGGTCTGGGACTCCAACCGCAATTGGCTACATGGGAGTTCAGCGACATAGCCATTACACTAACTGCTTGTCCCTTGTTTTCAGTATTTCTAGAAGATATAAGTGGCCATAGGTATTACTTTTACTGAACCAAGTGTGTGCTAATACAAATTGCTGTGCTTCACACCTAGAGTCTCTGATATAATAGGTCTGTGGTGGGGCCTGAGAGTTTACTTCACATAGCCTCCCAGGAAATACTGCTCTTTCTGCTGCTGGGACTGCTACTCCATACTTTCTGTCTTCTCAACCCTGAGGGTTCAGAATTATGCTAAAAATACTTACATGGTAAGAACATAGACTCTGAAGATTCTAGGTTTGTATCCTGGCTCCCCCACTTGCTAGTTCTATGCTCTTAGGCAAACTATTCACATTCTCTAAGCCCAGGTGCCTCGTCTATAAAATGAGGATAACAATGCTTAATTTCACAAGGTTATTGAGGGTATTAAATAAGATAGTGCCTGTAGCTAACAAACTCAGGACAGTCCCAGGAACATAGTATGTACTAACTGCTAAATATTAGACTGTGTTTTAAGTAACTTTAGTACATTATCATAGGTCCTAAAGTATAACATTACTGTTCGAAAGGCAGTTGTTTTGATTATAAAACACAGGAGAAATACATCAACACCCCAGCTGTAATAATCTTTGATCTAGTCACAGTTCTGGCTGACGGTGAAGCGATACCTTTTAAATAATAATAATAATAATAATAACAACAACAATAATCTCTACAGTTGAAATCTTGTGAAAATCTCAGTTAACTGCTGCCCTTTTTTGAGTATGAGATACAATACTTGAAAAACTAAAATCCATTATCTATGCACCATTCATAGATCATTTGTAAAGATATTACGTTTAAGACACTAAAAATTTGAATGATAATAGGTTAATTATAAACCTCTATTTCTATATTAGTGGTTTGTTGAAGCTTCACATTGGGCTTAGTTTTTGTTTAAGTCTTGAATCTTCATTTATTTTTAGTATTTCTTCTTGGGTTGCTTTATTCCTAGCTTCTCATAGAGCACAACTTCATACCTCTGAATGTTTCTCGAAAAAGGCAGCCTTTTCTACCAAGGAGATGACCTGCTCCTGATTCTGATTAGTTCCAATGGCATAAAGGTGCTCTGCACCAGAACCCCTTCTATGGTTTTCACTCATCACTCCTAGCCCTATGACACAGTCTTATCCCAAAAGCTTAGTATCCTGTCCACATGGCCCTTCTTCAGTTATATGAAAATAGCTTTTCTATACATTATAACCACCTCAAAAATTGTTAGATGCCATACAGCAGTTGTTTTCAAACTTATTGTGCATTAGAAACACCTGACTTGTTTGTTAAATACAACATGCTGTGCTCCACCCCTAGTGTCTCTAATATAATAGGTCTGCGATGGGGCCTGAGAGTTTCACGTCCCAAAGCCTCCCAGAAAATCCTGCTGCTGCTGCTGCTGCTTCTCCTTCCTCTCCTCCTCCAGCACAATGCTTTAAGAAACTCTGCTCTGTGTCTCTGGAGTCAGGAGGCAGTCTGCTTCCAGTTGAGGGGGCTGAAGCACAGAGTTTTGTCTGGATTTTCACAGGCTAGGAGCTATCTCATCCAGAGACTTTAGGGAATAAACGAGGGGTGCGTATAATGCACCTACATGTTACCAAAAGTTGAAGCATCGCTTCCTTCTGGAGTCTGGATCTGAACCCCATGTTTGTCATAGGAGCCAAGGGAGAGCCCAAGACAGAGACTAGTGGCACAATAATGAAGCATGAATTATCCAGATGAAAGCACCTATGGAAATAAAGGTATTAATGTTATTTACACCTTTTCTTGATAAAAATAGCACTGTGGAAGTGTTGAATATTTGCAACTGCTTAAAAGTTGGTCCATGGCAACTAAATAAACTCACATGAAAATGGTATCATAGATATAAAACACTGTTTGATTGACAGTTTTAAGATCCCATTTTGACCAAGTATACATGGGAATGATAAATTATGATTGATTATAAAATTACCAGAAAAGTTGGGTTAAATAGGAGTAGAGCCTGCTTTATTGACGCTACAGGGGTATGTCGAATAGAATAGTGAACAGGACAGATACAGTAACTGCCTGAACAAAGGAAAGGGCTTGGGATCATGAGGAAAGAAAGGGAAAATATGGGCATCTTACTTTGTATGTCATGAAGGATGGAGGGTTTCGCTAAATGAGTAATTTTGAATAAGAAAGCAGATCTAGAAATTACTGTGCAGTTAATTGTCACCTGAACTAACTAGCCGGTCGCTCCCTTATTATAACCTCTAATAGTTGCACTTGGTTTAGAGTAGAGAGCATGAAGACCTCTATCAGCCTTTTTTTTTGGGGGGGGGGAGATTTTCCCTAGAGGGCGCGTGCGCTCACCAGACAGACAGAAAGAGACACAGAGACAGAAAGCGAGAAATCACCACCCCAGGGGGGGGATGGTTACTCCGCAATCCCTTCTCCTCCATTCTCCTCTCGGGATCTTGGGCACGCACGCACATGCGCCCGGCGTGAGTTTAAGCCACCAGGTCTGGGACGTGAACCGCGGTTGACTACGTGGGAGTCCAGCGACATAGCCATTACGCTAACTGCTGGTTCCCTCTATCAGCCTTTTTAATTCCCTTCATGAAATCACATGTGCTGAGGCAATTTACAGCTTCTACATTTGGCTGTATTTTTGGGTCCTCGAAAAAAATGCAGAACTGGATTTTGATTTAAGAAAAAAGAAGATTCAGAGGTTATCTTTTGAGGTGAAGTTAGTAACCAAGGTAGATGTGAACTCCAAGATAGATCAAAGAGTAAAGCATTTCTTGGGCATTCACGCACATGCGCCTGGCGTAAGTTTAAGCCAGGTCCTGGTTACACCAGGCATGCACATGCCCCCAAAATCTCAGGAGAAGAATGGAAGAGAAGGAACTGTGGAGTGACTATCCCCCCATGAGGTGTAACTCTTACTTTCCCTCTCACAGTCTATCTCTGTCGAGCACACATACCCTATGGCAAAACCTTAAAAAAAAAAGAAGGGCAGCAATTGGACTTGATGAGGCAGAGTGAAAAGTACCTGACTTGAACCATGGTTGACTACATGGGAGTTCAGCGACATAGCCATTACGCTCACTGCTGGTCCCAGGAGTAAAGCATTTCAAAGAGAAGAGTTCCCTTTAAGAAAAGGTATGAAGAAAGCAAACATTCCAAATAGTTATCATAGGAAAAAAGAAATTTGAAAGATAGTTAAAGAAAAAAGGAGGGAAATAGAGCAGATGTATGTGTGAGTCTGCTGTGTATGTATGCATATATGTACAGATATGTCTGATCTGTGTGTATATGTAGCTATAAATGTCTATGTGTTGGAATGTGTGTGTGTGTGTGTGCATCTGTGTATATGCATTTCTATGTATATATTCTATAATGCGTTTATGTGTGTGTGTGTGTATATTCTGTCAGCCTAAGGATAAACAGTGTCAAGTACTGGTGTCTCAAGGAAACTATGCCACCTTATGTATTTAGATAAACAATTCAGATGATTTTATTTTTTCTTCTATATATTTACATAAGGTGATAAGTGAGTAGAGTTTGTTTTAAAATACTGCCTTGAGTGTTTGTGGTGTGAGATGAAGTTCAGCTGTTTCCTTGCTATAGAAAATTGACGTTTTTCTGTCTGACTTATTTTAATAAAAGGTCCGTAACTGTTGTCATTTCACTGTATCTTTTTTCATTCCTACCAACCAAGTAACATTTTCAGTGATTCTGAAATAATATTGATTGGGGTTGTGTTTTGTTTGATTTTCCCTCGACTAGGTAGTTCTAATGAGATGAAACTGGATACACTTTGGTAGATTTCTCTAAAGCTTCTGATTTAATGGTCCTATTCCTCTAACAAGGAGAGAAAGAAAAAGGATTCAAATACTTTGTTATTTGAGCATATTTTTTTGATCTATGTCATGTAAGATTCAAAATTTCTGGGGGTGGGGACAAAAAAAAAAAACCCTCCCAAGTAAGAGACAGTTCAGAGTCAGAATTTTAAGAGCTTATTGTGAGGAAGTACAGCAAAGACCAATACCTGCTTTTCACTCTGCCTCATCAAGACAAAATGCTGCTGCTGCTGCTGCTGCTGCTGCTGCCTTTTTTTTTTTTTAAGGCTTTGCCATAGGGTATGTGTGCTCGACAGAGATAGAGAGACTGTGAGAGGGAAAGTAAGTAAGAATTACACCTGGGGGGGTGGGGATAGTCACTCCACAGTTCCTTCTCTTCCATTCTTCTCCTGGGATTTTGGGGGCATGTGCATGCCTGGCATAATTTTTAAGCCACAGAGTCTAGAACTCAAACCATGGTCAGCCATGTGGGAATCCAGCACCTTAACCACCATGCTACCTGCTGGCCCCCAGTCCAAATGCTTCTAAAAAATCCTTTCAAAGTATAAAGATATAGTGCCCTTTACAGAATGCTGAGGAGTTGTTTACTATGTAAGTATTGCACAAAGCTTAGTAAATAAGTGCAATATAAAATGAACTTGTGTGTTGAATGTAAGAATCATGTCAAGGTGTCATTTTCACTAGTTTAGCTACTTTCTTCAGAAACAGAAGCCATTCGAATTTAGTTAAGATTGCCTTGGCTTTTCAACATGAGATTACGATGACTTAATAACAGTACGAGGACCAAGCCATGCGTGGATATCTCTGACTTCCCATAATGTGTTCCAATAAGTAATAGTGCTTTAATATATGGCAGCAGATGAGTATGAAGACAGTCTGGTATCCATCCTTTCCCTTAGTCAGTGTTTGTTGTGTACTTGCTTTGTGTCTGGTGCTGGATTTTGCACTGAGGATGTGAAGGTGTAGTACATAGATTAAGTCACTTCTGTTAAGGACCTCGTGGCCTTGTGAAGGCCCAAACAGCTTAACAGGTAATTATAAAGCAGGATGAGAAGTTCTGTGATGGGAGAAGTCCAGGAGACTGTGAAATGATGTAGGAGGACTTAGAAAAGGGCTTATGAAGTAGGAGATGGCTAAGCTGAGACCTAAAGGTTGAGGTAGGGGGACTCAGGCACAGGAAAGAGGAATGGAAAGTGTTCCAAGCAGGGAGAATTGTGCAGCCTGATAATAGAACAATCCTCTGTAAGTTATTTAGCAGTTGGGTGACTTCAGAAAAAAGTCTGTCTTAGGCATTTCCTTTCCTTATCTTTCTGGGGGAGATGGCGATGATGGTGGTGACAGTCATGGTAGCAGAGATGGTGGGTGTTCCTCGAGTGAGGCTGCAGCTTCTGCTAAGGCTGCTGGTGCTGGGTGCTGCTAGTGGCAGAAAAAGCAAAAGCAGTTGATAGTTCCTGAGCACTTATTACGTGCCTTGACGTGTATACTAAGCACTTGACATGCATTAATTACCTATCAGTGTTTTGTAATTACTTTATGAGATAGTACCATTATCATCTGTTTTACAGATGAGAAAACTGAAGCTTAGATAGGTTAAGTAACTCAAGGTTGCTATAACGAAGAGGAAGCGTTTGAAAACAAACAAGTTAACTTGTCGTCTGTATCTTTCACCATTACTATATTGCTCGTAATCTAACTTTTCCATATGGCTGATACAAAGATGAACACTATAATCTGAAAGGGCTTTTTTAAAGTGCATGGAACTTCATACTGTCATTGTGGATGCCAGGCTGAGGCAAGAGTCATGTGCTTAGTATCTAACTCAGAATGAAAAGAAAAAATGGTTGTAGCAACAGATAGGCTGCCGTTACTTGCCTTATTAACAACTCCTCTAATTCTATGGCTTGATCACATTAGTAGTCAAAAATGGAATTCCCCGGGGGATATTTTCTTGAAGCAACAGAACATTAGATGAGATGGACCATGGGTTTGCTCCCAAATGTCAATTGCTGTTAGAAAGTCCTCAAACATTTCTGAAATTGTTATTCTTTGTTAATCAACCCATGCTCCTCTGTGAGTACTCAGCACAAAATGAAATGGAGGCTTGGCAATTATCCAGTTCTTTTTGAGAATCTTGGCTCCTAATACGGATAATCCAAAGCTCCAATTAAACTTTTTAAAATTCTGGATTACCCATTTGACCCGTATGTGTGTGTATTACTCTACTTCTACTTTTTTTTTTTTTTTTGCCGAACACTTTTTTTCCTGTTACTTCTATGTTTCTGATAATCCTCACCGCACTTCCTGCATTTGTTTGGACTCTAATTGGTCATTGTATTGTGAAGTGAAGACTGTACTAGTGTCACCTAGGCAGGCCGGAGTTTCTGGCCAGCACGTGAGACATCATTGGGGATTATTGAGAATGTTTGGAGAGAGGTGGTCACATAAACTTTTGGCAGGAAGAGCCTGTTCCCATTACAAGGCAAAAGATTGGCTCTATAATAGTCTGAAGAACAATGAACCAAAATAATGAATTCTTCTGCATCAATTCCAGAGGCTAATTATTAGTTTGTTTTAGTCTCACTTGAGGCCTGATAAGGAGGCTTTCCCTTTGGAAGCTTGACTGAGTTAGTGTGTAAGGCAAGACTGTAATTCAGATATACTAGTGAAATGCAAACAGTTTCGTTATTAATGGTCACTAATGGCCTGTAATCAAGCTCTGATTTGTTAGATTTAAACAAAGACATAATTAGTTTATTTGTTCAGGAGTGTAAACCGAAGAATTTATCAGTCTGCTGAGTGTTCTCTGTTGGAGATGGAGACTGAAGCATTGGTCTTGAGATGTGGCATGTGGGGGCCGCCATTGTCAGTCCTTGAAATTCTTCCAGCATCCTGACCCTCATCAGCCTGTAACC